GAACAGAGCTGGGCTGAGCCGCTGACAAACTAACGATCTCTGCCCGATGTGTTTTCTTGGGGTTGTCATTGCCTGACAGATTGTCTCAAACATGAATCGATTGTTCCAGAACATTTGTGTTCTTAACCTGTTTGTTGATTGTCCCTCCATTATGTAAATGTGCTCCCCAGTAGGTACACCATTATTCTTGAATACTACAATTTCACGTTGTTGGTGAGTTTTCTCATTATTTCACATCGTTTCTCAATTTTCTCATTATTTGTGATGATCGAGTATTGACAGGTCTATTCTCAAATGTACATTGAGCTGATTCCAAGCAAGAGGGTGATTATCAAGGAAGGCGATGATCACGATACTGACAAGATGTTTGTTGTCAAGTACGGCCAATTTGAGGTATATCTCCACTTGGCCCTTTTCCCCATAGATGTGGTCCCGCACACATCAAAAGTCTGAAAATACCCTTCTGTACAGAGGCCCTGATTTGTCCAACGTATCTGGATAATGCTACTCAGTTTCTGATAACAAAATGCCCTGATTTGTCCTACGTATCTGGATAATGCTACTCAGTTTCTGATAACAAAATGAAAGTATCTGTTCAGTACTACGTGCTCTGCACAATTTTTGAGAGCAGAGTTGACCGCTTTTGTATGTTCAGCCCTTGCAAATTTTGACCGGCTCAGCATGCATAGTGTATAGGTCCCCATGGACTGTTAATTAGTTATCTGCACATGCGTAGTGAAATGGGCCACTCGTTTTGGTTTGGGTACATTTCAATAGTGCCACAAATTCAAAAAATAATAACAAGAATAGTGAGCCCAATAGCAGATTCTGCAGCAGCATGCCTGATCTTCACTGATGCACAAGTATGCCAGATGGTCTGATGTCAAGCATGTTTCCCCGATGAAATGTTATGGACAATCCCACTTACGCAGATGGTCGGGTAAACATTTGTAGGCATGCGGGATGGTGTAGAAGCTGTAGCTGATCACTCAGCTGACATGTGATTTTGACACATGTGCATTCGCACGCTGGTCTTCAGCACCAACTGCAGTTCCATTGTGTGCACAGAATTCCAGTCTGTGCAGAGGATGGTTTCCCTGCAGAGGATGGTCAGCTGAGATGGGATGGAAGATCCGGATGAATCTATGATGACGTTCTGTTTGCCCCAGATTTTCACCTCTTTTAACTATTCTGGTTTTGGGGAGGCTCAACAAACACAAGAGGAGAGAGACTGTGACAGCAAGAGATGCGCAGAGCCTCCCCACCATGGATAAACCTTATTATTGAATGACCATGATGATCAACACTGGTGACAGGAGAGAGGTAGGCAAAAGGCATGAAGTTCGATGCTGCTGTTTGTTTATCACTATTTGACTGATGATAAATGACCGATAGCGACCATGGCAGGTTGTTCGACATGATGGTACAACCAAAGAAAGCGAGAAATCACTCACCAGTGTCACCACACATAAAGAGGATAAGTGAAGTGTGTGTGTGTGTGTGTGCTGTCTCTTATACACATCTAGATGTGTATAAGAGACAGGTGCCGGATCGGCCAATCTCTCACGAGATCATT